AGGCCAATATTTCCAGTTTCTAAGAAGTTTACACATTTCATCAGTTTGCTTTGTGCGCTACTGTTGACACAAGTGAAAAAATGATTACTTCACGTGTGAATACAGTATTAGGATCCCCATTAGCTGCCCATTCAATGACAGCTAGTCTTCCTGGAGTCCTCTTAACTTCCTGAGTTCTTCTTAATTGGCAGCCGAGCTAGAAAGTGCTTTTCAGATTCTGTTTAGTCACATGGTCACATTTTTATACAGTGATTTTTCACCTTCAAGGAACTCAAAGCAGTTTTAATGATACAGGATATTTAAAAACTGGTTTCCTTGGATTATCCTGCTTTGTGTCAGTGCATAAAGAAGTTTCAGTATTGTTGTTTATCACAGTATTTCTCTGTAGCAATATATTGTCCTTCAAAATGTTATTATATTGTGACAGGACTAATATTCATACACAAGTCTACGCAGACAGTGGGGTTGAGGTGGGTTAAGTGTCTTGCCCAAGGGCACAATGACTGCATTCATCTGTGGGAGCTAGAATCAAACCAACAACCTGTGGGCCAATGAGTACAACCGCTTACCCAGTGATGTTTGTCGAGAGCAGGATTCGAACCTCCAAACTGTTTCTACACAAAGTTGTTTTATGTTATTCATTTATGTTTGAGTAATCTAGCGATCTCTCCTGGGCCCTATTCAAACCATCTTCACAGTTAGAAGTACAAGTCTGTCCAATGCTCAGCCCACAAGTCTATGGTTACGTTTAGATTGAAACAAATCACCGTATCAGAAACTATTTGAGTTCTGACACGTTGTTTCTGTGTCCACAATCAAAGCCTTCCCTTTCCACACAGTAACGCAAAACTGCCTGAAACTGTAGTTATGTGACTAGGCTGGCATCACGATGTCACGTCATTACATGGGCGGTAAAAAGAAGGAAGTGCAGCGCTGTCGATTTCGAGCCGAGGAAGCAGTCTTTTCTACGAGCAAGTAGTTCTAGCTCAGCTCTTTCCGTTTGTCAATGGTTTGTTTAAACTGTTTGTTCACATGACCAATGTCACAAACCCAGCGAATCACGAAGGCAAATCACAGTGCCATGGTCCAATAAGGACGGCAAATAGATCTCCTACATCAGCATATCAGCGTTTTCAGGCGTCCACACAGATCAGTACTCAAATGAATTCGTGGGAGTTGGCGGCACCAGATTTTTCCGTCTCTGGAGCCGTTTTCCATCGGATTAGTGTGAACGAACACTGCATCCGCAACGAAAATGACTGAGTTATGTACTAGTGTGGATGGGGCCTATGTCACCTGAGCTCCTTCGCCGCCATTTTTCACAAATATACAAGAACAGGACACAAAACAATACACTACAACTTCACAAACCTGACACAATATGGAGTAGTTTTTGAGCAGAATTCGTGCTGATTGTGTTGTGATGGAGCTCTGAAGGGGGAGTGACTTAACCTGGGGAGCAAGAGGAGGTGTGACTCAAAATGCCAAAAACAAAACTGAAACTAATAAAACATCTGAACAAGTTTTTTTTTTAAGGCAAATATAGCTTTTTGGAAACAATAAAAGGTCACACAGAGATCTAAATAGTGTATGTCTGTTGTCCTGGTTTTATCTTTTTCAATATTGTTCCAAATAACTCACACAAAAGACGATTCAATTGTTAAAATTTACTGTCATCTTTAATTTCTATGTACATCTCCAGCCCTGTACCTCCCCCGATAAAGAAAACTTTAGCGAATACTTTTCATATATTTAGTGGGTTTTACAGCTTCTGTACAGGGGTCACATCTAGGGCAGAAACATCATTTACTTTGTTCCGAGAACCAAGAACGAGCATAAATGGAGTGGGGGGGGGGGGGGGACACACAGCTCATGGGGGCATGTACAGAAGCATAAATGGAGTGAGGAGTGGGGGGGGGGACACACAGCTCATGTACAGAAGCAGCGCAGGATTCAACTATGTACAATACAAACCATTCATACAAATTAGGCTCTAGGATATAATTCAGTACATTACATTTTATATATTAAATGACAATGAGCAAGCCCCTTTCCCCATGGACCACAGTTAGCCCAGTTTGAAGCGACCACACCTGTCCAGAGAGGAAGTCCGCTTGAGTTGTCCAAAGTGTTCCCTATCCGTTCCCGACCGAAAAGCTTCTCACGCCGGATCTTTGAGTAGTGCTCAGCCGTGCCTCTTCAGCTGCCTTGCAAGGTTGTTTTTATTTTTATTTTTCCAAGTTTTTCTTTTTTTTTTATTCGTCGTTGAATAGTGTTTCAGTATATTTCCAGTTTCGAAGGAAAACTCCAAAGCACAGCTGGGGCAGACAATCCATTTTGTCCAGGGGATAATGCACAGTTGTATCAGGAAAAAGGAAACATAAAATCTACGAAAATGTCAAATAATAGAACAAATAACCAAACTAGCCACACTGGTAAATGCGTTTAAGAAAAAAAATGAAACAAAACACCAACACATGCAAAAAAGTGCAAACAAAAATACATTTGTTCCATCCCTGAAACAATTTGTATATTTGCAAAGTTAAGAAAAACAATCAGATTTTCTTGCTGTTCACATTTAAAAACAACAGCCAAATAATAAAAATGCATTACTAAAGGTTAAATAAATCATACATCTGTCACACAATCCTGCCAAACGCCAAATTGTAAACCCACAGAAAATATTATAAGGAAAAAAACTCAAACAAAACATGACTTTATGCTCGTGTTTTAACCTTTTTCTTTCTGAATCCATTGAAAATGCATGTATGACATCAACAACCATGTAAACAGAACATGGCGACATGACGTTAAATCAAGACAGTAGGTCCAGATCACAACTAAAACTTAAACCCTAAAGACTACATCAAGTTGAAGAGGGCTCACGATAACAATTCTTGCAAAATCTACTTCTAATTTTGGGGGTATCCAGAACGTAAAACTGTCTTAAGATGACATTGACTGTGTCCGAATGTCCACACTGTTCCCACTCAGGGCACTGTTTAGAAGTTATACCATCTTTAGGGGTGTCTGAATGTCCAGTTGATGAAAAAGTAGTGCGCTCAGAATTTACTAGTGGGAATCAGTGGTCACTAGAGCGGCCAATTTAGACCACAGTGCACTTCGAGAGTTGGGAAAACAAAGGCGTACAGCGACAGGAGTTTAACTGGACGCAACACGACTGAATGAAGCAGATAAAAGCCCCGGTTTATAGCTCTGTTGACGCGTGATTATGATTGAAATTGTCTTAAATAAACCGTTCTAGTGTTAGTCGCTTACCCAAGTTCATATCTCAGACGAAAAGCAAATAATCCCTAGCCTGATTCATCAGCCGATTTCACTTTGTGGAAACCGTCTGACCTCGCAGCATTAGGATTCGTTCGCTCGACGGTAGGCAGGTACTTTTTTTATTTAACCAATCGCTGCTATTTGGTTGTGACGTTTGTAATGCTCTGCTAACGAGGTATATTAAGCTTTTCCCAAATTCCGTAGGAGAAAGGGCAATAACGTCTTTCCCCTTGATAAAATTCACCAAACATTCTCTTTGTTCCAACTTTAAATCCTCAATCTCGGGAATCGCCGACAACAAAGAATGTATGATTTTTCGCTGATTGGCTGGTTCTTGCAAACCGCCTTGTGTATTCTGATTCCTGACCTAGTCACTGGAGAGAAATGAAATTGAGCGGAGGCACTAGGTGGCGCCAGCCTGACTAAATAATCCCGTCTGTTTACGTGAAATCCAGCGTGACGAAACTCGAATGATTATTATAAGTCCATAAACACTTGTGTGCCAGTCTGATCTGATCATTATTTATGACAGAAATCAAGTTTTGTTGGGATTTAGTTGACTTTTTTTTCACCTAGACACTAAAGTCAAGAGTCACGTGATCCGAATGTAGTGAGCTGCTTTTTAGAATTCGCTCTTTGGATGCTCAATATCACCGCAAAACCAGTAAGATAATGTAACTCACACACTTTCTTCACTTTGAGGCAGTTTTCTGTAAAGTGCCAGTGGAAGTTGGTTTAAAGAAGAGCTTCTCAAACTGTGGGTGAGGGTCCAAAAAAGGGGCGCAGAGTGTTTAAGTGCAGCTTAAATTAACATTTATCAGATAGAATGGAGATAGATTTATAAAAAAAAAAAAAAAAACATTGATATATATACACTACAGGTCAAAAGTTTTAGAACAACTTAATTTTTCCAGTTATTTATTGCAATTCAAGTCGTGCAAGTCCAATGAAGAGCTTGAAATGTTACAAAGATAAAAATTGCACAGCCAGAGGTTTAAAAAAAAAGATAAAGGATACAAAACACAAGTCCAAGCTCTGCCAAAACTACCTTGAAAACATGGAGTGTCCAGCAGCTCAGTGTCCAGACTTAAACCCCATGGAGCTGGTTTGGGATGAACTGGACAGAAGAGTGAAGCAAGCCTACAAGTGCCACACATTGATGGAAACTTCTGCAACAGACTTGGGAAGAACTTTCTGAAGAATATTTGATTTCTATTGTAAAAAGAACAAGCCCCGAGTGGGTTCAGTTGTTATATCTGCCAAACTTGGACCCAAAGTTTATGAATAAGAATATGTTTTGGTCAACAGTATTATACAGTAAACAAAATGGAAAAAGTGTGGTGTTCTAAAACTTTTGACCGGTTGTGTATATATGTGCCAAAAGAACATTGAAAATTACAAAGATGGTCTCGATTTGGTCTCGATGGGCCATGATCTTGGTCTTGTCTTGGTCTCGTTCTAGTCTCGGTCTCGATTAGTGCGTCCCTACGTAGTTATTGAAGATGGACATTCGGACACAGCCGTTAACTTCCAGAAATTAAAACATCTAAATCTCGCTAACTACACTAAGTCTGTCTAAAAAAAATCATCTAGGTGTTTCGTTATGTCGACATTGGGTAATTATCTGAAAGAACATTGATGGTACAATTAGCATTTCTCTGAGTAGAAGCCCCTCCGCTGGTCCACGAGTGATTGGTCAGTCTGCAGCGCTGTCAGCCAGAGGGGAAGTAGGGAGTGTCACTGTGGTAGTTGTAGTCCGGGCACACCTTCTGAACCAATTTGTAGTCAGTGCTATAGAACGATATGAAGATACAGATTACTTTGAAGGGCTTTGAACATAGCCAAGAAACGTGGCTCTGCGTCTGCTCCTGGTAGCACGTCTTGGAGGGATCAAAGTTGCAAAGTGTATTCTTCGCTCCCTTTTCCACCTTTTCGTACTCGATGCGACAGTTGAAGGACTTGGAATCCTTCGCGTCGATCACGGACTGCTGCGCGGTCACGTCAAACTCGACTATTTTCGTGGGCGGCACCAAGCTAACCGAAACGTTACCCTGACCCGTGGAGTTGTGGCGGAAGTAGACGCTAAAAGTCCCGTTTCCGTGGTCGACGATTTTCCCGGTGATGAGGAGGTTGAGTTTGACGGTTTTGATGTTGGAGTGGAAGTCGCCCCATCCGAACATCTTCTTGAACTTCCCGGTCTTGACCATCGGCCGTCGTTTTGCCCGCGGTCGTGAGTCCTGGAGGTCCGTGGTGTTCCTCAACCATTCCCAAAGGTCCTGCTCGGAGTAGGGTTCGGGCGTGTCGTAGCGGAGGTCCAGAGCGGTGTTGTTCTCCTTGCCGTGCAGAGTTTGGGAGAGGAGCCGGCTGATTGACAGGTCCTTGCTGCTTTCTGTCCATATGTGTTTTAGCGTGGATTTGGGGCTGCCTGATTTGATGATGTCCGACTTGGAGGCGTGGGCACTTGTGACCTGTGGACGAGAGGAAAAAGAAACAGGGAAAAAAAATCATTAGAATTTTGTTAACGCTGAGATATATAAAGAAGATCATTTCGAGATATGATGGGTGGTTTCATGTTGTAGAAACCGTCTGACCTTGCACTATTATTTGTTTGCTCGAATTATTTTACCAATTGCTCCTATTTGGTCGTGACGTATGTAATGCGCCGCTAATGGGGCTAACTGGTATATTAAGCTTTTCCCAAATCCTGTAGGAAGAAGGACAATAACGTCTTTCCCCTTGATAAAATTCACCAAACATTCTCTTTGTTCCGCCTTTAAATCCTCGATCTCCGGAATCATTGCCAACACAGAATATAGGACTCTTTACTGATTGGCTGGTGCCTGAACTCGCACTTTTGGGGTTTTTACAAACCGTCTCTGTCTGTATGCCGATTCCTGACTAGTCTGCAGTGAGAGAAAAATGAAAAATTGAGTGAGGCACTAGATGGTCACAGCCTGGCTAAATATTTACATATTTGACTTTTGAAATCGTGAGTGTTTGCTAAAAAAGGGGGAAAAAATTAATAATAATAATAATAATTTATTTTTAGTTAATCATTTTAATGAATTAATCATTGCATTTATATAGTGCCTTTCAAGACACCCAAAGCACTTTTCAGTTTATTATTTATTCACTCGAAACTCAGCTGTGGTAAACTACTATTGTAGCCACAGCCGCCTCAGGGCAGACTGACGAAAGCGAGGCAACCAGTCTGCGCCATCAGCCCCTCTGACCACCACCATCACTCACACACCACTTTCTTACTTGGCAATGTGGGTGAAGTGTCTTGCCTAAAGACTCAACAACAGTTTTTGCCACTAGTGCTCCACTGTGGCACCTGGTATCCCCCCCCCAAAAAAAAAGTTAAGTTAAAATTACATTAAAAAGGAGTGCATGGTTAATTAAAAAAAGTTTTAATAATAATAATAATAATAATAATAATAATAATTCTTATTAAAAAAAATGACATTCTAAAAAAAAAAGAAAAATTACAAGTGGGTGTGGAGTAACTTGAGTTTTATTGAGTTTTATTAAAAGGCCCCATGTAGTTCATTCATAATTCTGTTTCCTCATCACAAACATACCTGGAGTTGTGCATATTTAGGCTGAGTTTTTCTCTCTAACAGAAAACACTCCGTTCCACCTTGTGATGTCATGTGGTAAGACAGAAAGTGCTCCACTGTGTTTTAAACTCCATACACCTTCACTATAATTATTTGGGGAATTTCAGCCCTGGAATTGCAGAACTCTACTGAAATAAAGATTTTTTTAAAAAGTAGCTGTTGCCTTGAAAACTACTGCTTCGTGACATCACAATGTGGAGCAGAACATTTTGAGCTCAGGAGATGTAGACAGACAAATAATAAAGCGTTACTCAATGTGTGAATGAAAGAAAACACAAGTCCAGGTCTGTTTTTGTGGAAGTAACAACATTATAACTTGGCTTAAACCTCACAAGAGTCAATTTTGCATAATATAAGACCTTTAATATCAAAGTTTTCTGTTATATATTGCCCCTGTTTCATTGTTTGTGTTTTGGATACTTTAAATTATACGTGTATTATTCAGTGTGTTTTATTTGTACTTCATTATATTTACTGAATGATTCATATGTGAATTACACAATATCCATCATGCCATTTGGAAAACATAGATTTTTCTCAGTCCTTAATACATAATAACTGCTCGATCAATCCTGTGTAACTCCGCCAGGGCCGAGCAGATCGATGCGTTCAGCTCTCTTCAATGTCAGATGATGGGTCACAGCAAAACACAGATCAATGTCTCTCATTCACTCCCTTTTGTCAGACAGCAACAGTATCGAGCCGGCGAAATGGTCTGCTTTAGTGTAATTGTACGGACCAAGACCAGGACTCAATCATAGGTGGACCAAACTAGGATTGCAGCAGGACTGAACCAAGTCTCGACCTGGAATGAACCGCGCTATGAATGAGTATGTGCGCAAACCAGGACTAAAGACCCAAGAGACCAAGAGGAAACTAAGACCAGGGCTAAACCAGTATTTCAACAAACTGTGTTACACTGAAATGACACAAACCAAATAAAAGGTCTAACTAAATCTGTTTGGAACATAACCTGCTCAAAAAACAGACCTAAACAAGAAAAACAAAGAATCTAACCTCAGATTTTATCATGCCAAAACCAAAACCCCAGACTTGCCAATCTCCACTGACCAAAAGGTAAAAAGGTTCCTATTGACTTGAAAACTACCACTTCATGACATCACATAGTGTAAGAGAGCATTTTGAGCGTTCGATGGAGACTACTGTATTTTTTGGACTATAAATCGCACTTTTTTTTGGTGGTTTGGGTGTTTTCTGCGACTTATACTCAGGTGCGACTTATATATTAAAGAGAGGTTCTAGTCGTGTGTGTCAGTATCTGCTGCTCCTGTTCCTCCTGCACCACTGTCACTTGGCTCTACTGCGCATGTCTCCTGCAGAAAGAGCCTCTGTCCTGTATGTATAATGTCAATTGATCGCACCATTACTTCTGTACCACTGAAAATATAAAATTTAAACAGATTTATAAAGACGACTGAGAAGACTGAACACAAATGCTCCCAAAAAGAAAATCATATTTTGCAGATTACAAACTGCAAGTAGTGAAATATGAAGCTGAAAACGGTAATCGAGCAGCAAAAAGAAAGTTTGGAGTGAGTGAGAAACTTGTGACACTGGGAGGAGGTCACAAGGGAGGAGGATTAAACTTTCCTGGAGTCACTAGATGGATGGACAAAGTCTGGACTTCAGTGACACCGAAATCATCCTGTCTGGATTCAGAAAGGCCCGAATAATTCTAACTATAACTGATGCTGAGTCTGACGACAGCGACACAGAAGAGGAAGCGGCGCAACGTTTACCTCCGGAGGTCCTGGAGTTGCTCAGAAGTGACACCGAGGATGAAGAATTGAATGGATTTAGTGATTTGGAGTGAGATGGAGAGTTTGTTAAATTTTTTCTGTTCTGTTGTTTATGTTATAGTTTATCTGAAGAACTGTTCATATGTGACGTTAACAGTCTGTTGTTCTCTCTTCTATTGTTTTTACTAGAACTTGACTTTCAAGATGAAATGTTGGTTCCTGGTCTCTGATTTTATTAAATAAATTTCCCCCAAAGCGTGCAGCTTATATGTTTTTTTTCTTCTTCATTACACATTTTTTGTCTGGTGCGACTTATACTCTGGAGTGACTTATAGTCTGAAAAATACAGTAATAATAAAGGATTACTCAGACATGTGTGAATGAAACAAAACACAACTCCAGGTCTGTTTTTGAGGAGATAACAACATTATAACATGACTAAAAGCTCACAAGAATCCATTTTGTGTCACATAGGACCTTTAAAATCTGAATTTTTCAAATAGTCTTTGGGGAAAATGAAAAGAAAACATCCTTCTAAGAGCTGCGACTCACTCCAGGACAACACAAGAACATAACAAAACCTAATCAGCTTATCAGAACTATCCAATCCATACTCAAACCAGGACTAAAAAAACAAAATTTGGACTTCAATATCTCAAAAAATTCCATCTACAATCCTTCCTTTTGCCAACACAGACGGACCTGCAGCTATTGAGCGAGTAAAACTACACTATTAACCAACGCTAGCTCCTTGAAGCGATGATTGATGGAGCGCGGGGTTTCCACGTTTAGCTCAGATGAGTGGGATTGCGTTCACAAAGGCAGCGCTGGAGGTACGCGACATTGACTGGCCCGTTCCGACTGTACGAAGTGACAGCAGATCCGTCTTGTGAGGGTTTTGCATTTCGCAGGTTGCCCCCAGGATCGATACACAGAAAATAAGGTTGTGCTACCAATCACTTTGACTAGAATTGGACCGCCGCGTGGTTCTCAAAGAGGTGGGGGCTGCAGAAGAGAAAATGTGTCTTTGTACGTAATGAAATAGATATATAGGGAGAATTGTGTTTGAAAGGTGAAAGGAATACGAGATTATACGTGAAAATGTGATCATGGCCGAGATCTGACAGATATAACGCATGATCTGGGGTTTTGAATGTGCTTAGAAGTCTTATGCAGTGGTATGTCTGTGAAATTGCATTATATTTCTTCTACAGGCTGTGCTCACACTTGCACAGTCAAAATTAGAACTACACAAGGACAAAAAGTGGAACTAAACCAGGACTAAACCAGGATTTAATCAGGATTGAATCAGGAACAAATCTGGACCGAACTAGGACCAAAGTTGACAGCCTTATTGATGATTTCAGACCTGGAATTTCCAATCTCTACTGACCAAAAAGGTAAAAAAAAATGTAGCTGTTAACTTTAAATGACCACTATATGACATCACAAGGTGGGACAGAGCATTTCGAGCCAGTGATTTCTTCTCTAGGCTGCGTTCTGTGTTGAGGACCCCCTTGAAAGACAGTGGAACATCTCAAGGGACTTATTCTCCAAACAAATACATTCAAATTTACTCTTGCACAATCGTAATCAGAAGTAAACTGGGACTAAAAATGGAACTAAACCAACAACTTAATCAGGATCAAAACCAGAACCAGACAAACCAATAAATCAATAAAGTTAATTCAACTTAATTCAATAAAGGTTTAAAGGTGTGATTAAAAAAAACAAAAAACAAAACATGCATACTTAGTGGATTCAGTTCAGACACAGTATTTAAGTTTTACCTGAAAGAAACTGCTTCTCTAAAACATCACAAAAGATTCACGAGGGCAAATTAAATACACTGATTTTGCAACATACAATAGCTTAAAAGTAGATCTCTCCCTTAAAGGTGCACTGTGTAACTTTTCAGATGAGGGTGTGAAGAGGTTATTGCTTTAATTGGAATGTACGGTATGGGATTCAAAGAAGCTCAGTTTGCAGTAGTGAATTTGACAAAATCTAGTAAAAATGGAGATAATGGCCCAGTTTTCTTCATCTACGTGTCACTGTAGCCTTCCGTTTTCTTCGGCCAAGCAA